ATGGACAACTGTATGTGGCTAGCTCACGCATCAGAAAACCTTCTGATTTATTCGTGTACGCACCAGACGGAAAAACAAAAAATATCGTGTATCCACAAGCACTCCAATAAATAAATAGAATTGAAACGACACTTTGAAATGTTTTCCAGATGAAAATTAATAATAATAATAATAATAATATAATAATATAAAAATGATAAAATGTAAATTCAATTTTATCAAAACAAGTCTGCTTGAATTTTGTTTCTTCTGAGATGGCAGCAATACGTGACATGTAAGCTAATTATATATATTTGTGACAGTTTTTCGAAACATTTTAATGCATGTTATAAAATAAATATTTTAGTATATAAATACATTTTACTCATATTTTTTTCCATTTATTTACGTATCAAAGCATTTATATATAACCTTTAAACATCTGCAAGTAATTAGCAATTCTCACATGGGAAACCAGCAATAAAATAGCTGATTGGAAATGTTTATTGTACCGTAGGTACAAAGGTTTCCAATAATGGGGTTCTCAATTGTTACAATTTATGACTACAATAAAAGATGACAGATGATGGTTCCTAGAATTTCTGACTCTTTGTTCTTCTTTTAAACAATTCTGTAATTTTTCTCACTCATAGTTCTGCTCGAGTTGTTCGGTGTGTAATTTTGTGCTGAAAATTTGAAAATGTTTTTGTGTCCTTTTTTTTTTTACTCGTATTGCTACTACTAATCAAGTAAGTTACTTATCATTATAAGAGTTTATAAAAATAGTTTTCTCACGCATAATATAAAAGAAAAAATTTTAGATAATTTATTTTGTTGGCAGAATGTCTTCTGATTCCAATATCAAATATGCCCCTGTATCATCAAGTGGGTCTGAAAGAAGTTTGTCTAGTGGGCTGATAAAATCAAATACTAACGAAGAAAAAATAGATATCACATCCACTCTAGTGCGAGATCTGAATAGCTCCTGGGTCTAAATTAATAATTTAAAAATAATACAATTTTAGTCATAAATTATTCTTTCATTTGGGGCTGAAAAATAATGTTTTCTAGCGTGGGTAAACTGCTAGGAGTGTCACTTCCTTCCACAAAAGTTAAAACATCCTCTGTCTTTCACCTTATCTGCTAAAAATCTCGCTTTAGTGGGAACTGTTTACCCCTTTACCCTTAATTTCATCCCCTTCTCATCCGTTCAAGTGGATAAAGCCTCGGCTGATAATTAATCGTAGATGAGAAGATATATGGGATGTTCAACTGAATTCGGGGAGATCGTCAGGACATCTCATAGTAGAAAGAAGTCTCCATATTGGCTCCACACCGCCCTTAGGAGTTCATCGGCAGACCTGAAAGAATCAAGACTCCACACATTCGCTCTCTAAGGCAACGCCCTTAAGAGTTCGTCCGTAGATCAAAGAGTAAATTGCCTCCACACCAATATGTCAGCAGACTTACGCATCATCATCATCCCTCAACAAGTTACTCCTAAGTTATCAATGAAGTATCTTCACGAATAATAAGACGACACTGCCAAGTAAACAGGTCGTATGTTTAAGACTAAATTGTGAGCTCTCTCTCTCGTAAATGTATAGATTGAGAATACTGCTCTCTCGACTCGTTTATAGACTAAGGATAGATTTCTTCCTATCACAATTGATTTGATTATTCGTTCTTTGATTGATTGTCTTAGATTATTTGATTATTTCTTATTTGTATCAGTATCATTTAATTGTTTATTAAATNTATAGACTAAGGATAGATTTCTTCCTATCACAATTGATTTGATTATTCGTTCTTTGATTGATTGTCTTAGATTATTTGATTATTTCTTATTTGTATCAGTATCATTTAATTGTTTATTAAATTATATATATATACTTTGTTAAAAGATGTCTCTATATTATTATTTCCTGAATCTGATCTACGGCATAATTTTCACGCGTGTTTATCCATGTTACGCTAAGTAGATAAATTGGTGTCGGAACCCTGACACCAGTTTATCTACTTAGGTGAATTTGCCATCACCAACTTCTGCGCTGAATTCTAACTTAACTATAAGACCCTCCGCCAATCGATTTCCTATTAAATATAAAAACCATTCTTGTTGACGACCGAGATTATTCTCACAGAACAGAGCCGAATAAGTGATACTAACTTCCTAGCAGATTAGTAACCCCCGGCTACTCTCACACTAGTATAAGAAACTGGTGCCCAATAAATGTCAAAAATCCACCTTTGGCTCCTCCGCGTTTTCCTTTTGTAAGAAACCCCAGCAAAAAAGTAAACGTTGGGGACATGTCAGACCCATTAAAGTATTTCCAATGATTTTTTGATATAAATCAAATCAATGTTATTGTGAAAGGAACAAATAGATTTCAATCTCAACAGCCACAATCATCAAGCAGTCACTGGAATCCACTTACTGCAAAAGAATTTTTTGTATTTATTGCGATATGTATTTTGCAAGGTATTATAAAAAACCCAAGAAAATAATGTATTAGACGCAAGACGCCAAATTACACACCCCATTTTTTGGCACAGTGATTTCGAATAATAGATATGCAGAAATAAAACAAAATTTACATTTCATAAACAATGACACCTACAACCAGGACACACACCCTAATCCTAAACTACATAAAATTTGACTGATAATTATAAATCTAAATTAAAAATTTTCGTAATTTTATATACCAAAAAGAGAGATATCCATTGATAACAGTTTGATGTTATACAAGGATCATCTTGCATTAAAAAAATACATTCCTCAAAAACAGGCTCGTTTCAGTGTGAAATTGTATAATTTATGTGAGTCCTCATGAGGATACCTATACAAATTTTTGATGTATATTGGAATGTCAACTGTGTTAGATGAAAAATACAAAAATATGCCAATCAGTTCACAGATTATGCTGACATTAGCTAATTCGTTGTCAAGCAAAAGCTATTGTCTAACAAAAGATAGATTTTACTCTTCCCCACAGTTAGCAGATCATCTTATTACGTGCAAAACAAATTTTTATAAGTCCATACGCACAATAAGAAAAGAGATTCCGCCAGCAATCCACAAACGAAAATTGAAAAAGAAAGAGATAATAGCTTATCAGAGAGGTAAGCTCATAATTATAAAATGGCAAAACAAGCAAAGTGTAGCTTTACAGTCTACAATCCACAATCCTGCCATGGTAACAACAGTTAGTTAGTTAGTTCGTTAGAGTTCATTGGCGCAAGGGCCATACAGGCCAAGCTGTGCCATGGCAAATAGTATATATAAATAAATAAATAAATATATATATATATATATATATATAATGTAAGATGTTTAATATAAATAAATAAACTAATAAATAACAAAATCAATAACAAAACAATATATAACAATATACATGTAAATAATAACAAGATATATACATAAATGAATAAGTAAATAAATAATCAACAAGGTATATATAAACATAACCTAGATAAATAATTAAATATGTTTATAAATATTATTCACTTTCAAAAAGTTCAATAATTTGTCAAGATTTGGCCTCTGGCCCAAAATCTCACTCAAACTTGCATTTCCGAAATGCTGTCTATGACTTTGATCATAAGCTGTGCAGTTGCAAAGCATGTGTTTTACACTTATAAAGCAGTTGCAATACTCGCATACTGGCTCCTCTTCACCCTTCAAAAGGTATTGATGAGTCAACCAAGTATGCTCAATTCTCAAATGAGTAAGAATTACTTCAGATCTCCTGTCATACTGTTTATTATGTGTCCAATTTTCTATATTTGGCTTGATCTCATGTACTTTATTGTAAACTTGTGCATTCCACATGTTTTGCCATCTCTCTGTTAGTTGTTTTTTAACAACTACCTTCAAATCGCCTCCTTCAATACACATTGTATGCTGTAAAATACTAGCTTACTTTGCAGCTGCGTCAGCTGATTCATTGCCTTTTATACCTACATGGCCTGGGACCCAACAAAATTTTACAAAGAAATTTCTCGCAGTAAAATGGCAAAAAAGCTTACGAATTTTAATCACTATAAAGTAAAAACTAGGTTCACATGAAATCGAAGCCTGAAGTGCACTAACTGAGTCAGTGTAAATAACACAGGAACGATGACCTTTCCTATTTATATACTTTGAAGCTAGATAAATAGCATGCAACTCTGCAGAAAAGATGGAAGAATTCAATGCAATTTGTTCTGCCACGATTTCATCCTGGCATACAAAGGCTGAGCCAACGTAATCATCAGATTTAGATCCATCTGTATAAATCAAAATTAAATTCCTGTCATAATGTTGAATTTCTGCAATGTGCTGCCTGTAGACATAATCTGGAGTGGATTCCTTAAAAAATTGCTTTAAGCTAAGATCAACGTTTATCACAGGAGTTGACCAAGGTGATATACTACAGACCTCTAGCTGTGAAATGTTGCCTGTGTTCAGGTCAATCGTGCTGCTCACATTCTCCATTCTTATAACGAATGAAGGGACACTGCTTGGGCGAGCTTCAAATAACCTTTTCAGCTGAGTATCTAATACTGTAATATCAACTAAAAGTTTAGAGTAAGATTTCTGTTTTATATAGTAAAATAGAGACAACTGTTCTCTCCTGAGAGATAATGGAGGCTCATAAGCATCCACATACAAACTTTGTACAGGGGAAGTTCGAAAAGCAACAGTGCACAAACGTAAAGCTTGATGGAAAATTGGATCCAGCATCCGAAGAGTAGATTCTCGCGCAGAGCCATAAACAATGCAACCGTAGTCCAGCTTAGAGCAAACAAGGGCCCTATAAATTCTGAGCATAGAAACTTTGTCTGCTCCCCAGGATGAGCAGCATAGTACCTTTGAAAGATTCAAAGTTTTTAGACATCTACTCTTCAAATTGCGCACGTGCAACAAAAACGTCAGTTTATGGTCGAAATAAACACCCAAAAACTTAGCATCATTCACCATTGTAATTTTATCGCCATTTAGTTGAATTTCAGTATCCAAGTGCAAACCACGCCTTCGGCAAAAGTGGATGCACGATGTCTTCGCTGCATTAAACGTAAACCCATTAATCTTGGACCAATCATATATGCGATTTAAGAAAGTTTGAAGTTGTCTCTCAATGAAACTCATATTACTAGACTGACAGGANTTTATCACAGGAGTTGACCAAGGTGATATACTACAGACCTCTAGCTGTGAAATGTTGCCTGTGTTCAGGTCAATCGTGCTGCTCACATTCTCCATTCTTATAACGAATGAAGGGACACTGCTTGGGCGAGCTTCAAATAACCTTTTCAGCTGAGTATCTAATACTGTAATATCAACTAAAAGTTTAGAGTAAGATTTCTGTTTTATATAGTAAAATAGAGACAACTGTTCTCTCCTGAGAGATAATGGAGGCTCATAAGCATCCACATACAAACTTTGTACAGGGGAAGTTCGAAAAGCAACAGTGCACAAACGTAAAGCTTGATGGAAAATTGGATCCAGCATCCGAAGAGTAGATTCTCGCGCAGAGCCATAAACAATGCAACCGTAGTCCAGCTTAGAGCAAACAAGGGCCCTATAAATCCTGAGCATAGAAACTTTGTCTGCTCCCCAGGATGAGCAGCATAGTACCTTTGAAAGATTCAAACTTTTTAGACATCTACTCTTCAAATTGCGCACGTGCAACAAAAACGTCAGTTTATGGTCAAAATAAACACCCAAAAACTTAGCATCATTCACCATTGTAATTTTATCGCCATTTAGTTGAATTTCAGTATCCAAGTGCAAACCACGCCTTCGGCAAAAGTGGATGCACGATGTCTTCGCTGCATTAAACGTAAACCCATTAATCTTGGACCAATCATATATGCGATTTAAGAAAGTTTGAAGTTGTCTCTCAATGAAACTCATATTACTAGACTGACAGGAGATCTGAAAGTCATCTACATATAAAGAGTGTTTCACACTAAAAGGGAGACAGTTAGCTATACTGTTAATTTTAATTAGGAACAGAGTCACACTCAAAATACAACCTTGAGGAACACCTTCTTCTTGGGTGTAGTGCCTAGATAAAGCATTGCCCATCCTGACTTGAAATCTTCAATTCTCTAAGAAATTTTTTATAAAAATTAGCAAATTACCCCGCAACCTGAATTTGTACAGATCACGAAGTATTCCGTATCACCAACAGCGATCATAGGCATTCTCTATGTAAAAAAACACAGACACTAAGTGCTGTCGTCGAACAAACGCTTCGCGTATAGATGTTTCAAAGTTTACCAGGTTATCAGTGGTACTTCTGTTCCTACGATAACCACTCTGATGTGGTGAAAAGTATTCCTTTTAGACGCCTGTTTACCATTCTCTCGAAAAGTTTACAGAGACAACTTGTCAGAGAAATTGGTCTGTAATTAGAGGGATTCTTGTGATCTTTACCAGGTTTGGGAATGAGAAAAATGATAGATAGCCTCCAAGAGTTGGGAAAAGTATGTTCTGTCCATATTCTGTTAAACAGATGCAAGAGATTAGAAAGGAAATTGTTTGACAGATTTTTAATCATGCTGTAGTGGATTTTATCCGTGCCTACAGCACTATTCCCCCGCGAGAGATTGCTGTATGTTATTCAATTCTAGTGAATGGCACATTATATTCCTCATTAGATAAAGAGTAAAAGTTTAAACACTGTTTTTCTCTTTGGGCTTTATAAGCTTGAAAATTCCTTGAATACACAATATTGCTGGATGAAGCAGAAAATGTTTCACTCAATAAATCAGCAATACCCTGTATATCGCTGATTATTGTGCCATTATTTTCCAACATGGACAGAGAGTGAAAAGCATATTTCCCATTAATTTTATGGATTTTATCCCAGACTGCTTTTGAGCGAATGGAAGATGTTATGCTTGAAACATACTGCTTCCAAGAATGCCTTTGGCTTTGCCTTCTTATCTTCTGGCATTTGCCTTTGCTTTTTGAAAAGCAACCAAATTTTCAGCAGTGGGGTATCTTCTGAAAATCCGCCATGCTTTCTTTTGTGCTTTAAATGCAGCCTCACAATTCTGGTTCCACCATGGATTCAAATGTTTTGGATATCTAGTTGATGTCTTCCCCATTGTTTTTTCTGCTGCCTGAATGATACTGGAAGTGACAACCTGAACTGCAACATTGATATCAGCAGTATTGACCTAAGTGATGTTAGCCAAAGTGATGTTAGCCAAAGTAAAAAATGCAGGCCAATCTGCAGTTTCGAGTTTCCAGCGTGGTGGACTGGCTGTTTTACAGCTTTCTCTGCCTCGATATTTTAGAAATATTGGGAAGTGATCACTAGAGAGTAAATTAGATACAACCTCCCATGTAAATGTTGAAAACAGATTCAGAGTTGCTAATGATAGATCAATGGCAGCGAACGTTCTTGATGAGGCATGGAAGTATGTCACTTCTCCAGTATTAAATAGGTACAGTTGGTGATTACCTATAAATCTCTCGATGGCTCTGCCTCGACGATTGATGTCGGGACTGCCCCACATAGGATTGTGACCATTGATGTCACCCAGTATAAGAAATGGTGTTGGCAGCTGTTCAACCAAAGTATCCAATTCATTCTCATTCACTCTGACATCTGGTGGCAAGTATATATAACAAACTGTGACAGTTACTCCAATAGATATTCTGGCTGCCACAGCTTGCAAATCAGTAGTAATTTGTACCGGCAAACATGGGATGCGATTTGAAACAACAATAGCCACAGCTCCACTGGCACAGTTGTGGCTATCATCATCCTTGCAATAGAGATCGAAGCCGTTTAAAGTAATGCTTTCTCCAGGTTTCAAATGAGTCTCCTGGAGTGCCACACAGAGAGATGAGGTAGATGACGTCAAGTGTTTAATGTCAGAGTAGTTGTTGCGGAAACCACGACAGTACCATTGGATTATTTTATAATCCATTATGTGTTTGAGGCAGCATTCTTTGTGAAGGTATCCCTCTTTAGTTTTACGGCTGATTTGCCTTTTGGAGGTGAAGTTGATGGAGTCACCTCCTTATTAGTCTTCTCATCAGAAAAGTCAGAAAACTCACTCATAGACTGAGCCTCTGATCTCTTAGATTTGGAGATGGCTGCTTTTAGTTTTTGTTTGTTGAGCAAGTTCTTAGCAGCCTTCTTAGAACCCACGTTTCTTGTTATTTCTCCTGTTTTAGGTAGGGGTGTTTTGTTCTTCTTGCTCTCCTTTTCTGCTGTATGTGTAGATGGTATAAGCAAACATTTTTCGTGGCGAGTTAGAGATTCATTTGGTGAAACAGAAATGTCTATCTAAAAACTCCACATGTCTTTGTGAATTTTAGAACAGCAGCAAATGTCTTCTGTTTCACTGGTGCATTTAAAGTTACCATGCGTCATGCCTCTGGGTAAGATAGATTGTTAACTGTTTTCACGCGCTGAATCTCTCTCTCTCTCTGCCATGCAGGGCATTTTCAAGAGTAGGAAGGATGTGAATCTTTGCACTTAACACAGCATGGGGTACAGGTACACTCGGTACTCTCGTGACCTTCATCCCCACACTGTGCACATACATTCTTGCCATGGCAAGATGCCTGTGAATGTCCAAACCGCTGGCATTTAAAGCAGCGCAGCGGGTTTGGAATGTATGGTCAAACTGGGCAACGCAGATATCCTGCTGTAATTACAGATGGCAATGTCGGCTTGTTAAATGTAAGAATTAGGTGTTTAGTAGGTATCACCCTTCCGTCTCGATGAATAGAGATGCGTCGGACATTAGTGACACCTTGATCCGAAAGGCCTGTCAATAGATCTGATTCGTCTTCTGACATCAAGTCTGACTCAGATATCACACCACGTGATGAGTTTAGACTTCCGTGTAGTGTGACCAGAACTCCCATTTCTCCGAGACTTTTTGTTGCCAAAAGCCTTGCTGATTGTTGAGGTGACGCTGTCTCTATAAGTAAATCCCCAGACCTCAACTTTTGTATTTTTTTCAGGTGCCCAATGGTAGATTCAAATAGCTTTTGAATGAAAAAAGGAGAGCATTTGGACAGTAGTTTATCTCCCGTAGCATGTATTATCAAGTATGCAGGCTCGCTAAAAAGTTTTCCGCCATTTGTTATTTGTTGTTCTGTACTATGTTGGAGTTTTAGGTTTTTAGAATCCATATTATTCAAAAAAGTTCAGCTCCTAGTGACCCCACCCACCATGGGGCCCAACAAGGGGATGCCGTCACATGGAATACTTCCATAGACCGTCACACCAGGGTTTCCCAGGAGCTATACCCTCACAATGCAGTCAAGAAGAGCACATCTTGTCTGACATGTCCGCCCGATCTGCATCGATCAGTTGACTCCAAGCCGAGGTCAAGAATGACTCAACGACCAGCTGATTGACTCAAACAGAGCCTGATTTTAGCCTCCCGTTTATCCGAAGCAGGGGCCAAAGCAGTGTGTTGGAAACGTTATGTTGCCCCTCAACTACCAGGATCCCCCTTTCCGGCATACGGGATACCACGCACGGCAAACACGTGGGTGGGCGTTCAGATCCCAGGGATGGTAAAGATAAGTTACTAAACCATCTCTGGGAGGTCCCCTCACCACGGACAAGAACCCACATCAAGGGGAAAAACAAGTTTGGGCTTGCTAAAAATAGATCAATAACAGTGAATGTTCTTGTGGGGGCATGGAAGTATGTCACTTCTCCCGTATTAAATAAATATAATTGCTGATTGCCTATGAATCTTTCAATGGTGCTGCCTTGATGGTTAATGTTAGGACTGCCCCACATTAGATTGAGACGTTTGAAATCACCTAGTAAAAGAAACAGAGTAGGCAACTCTTCGACTAATGCATCTAATTCATCTTCGTTGACTCTGACATCTGGTGACATGTATATAGAACAAACTGTGACAGTTACTCCAATAGAAATTCTGACTACCACAGCTTGTAAATCAGTAGTTATTTGTACCGGCAAAGATGGGATTCGATTGGAAACCAGAATAGCCACACCGACAAGTTCAATTGTGGCTATCATCATCCTTGCAATAGACATTGAATCCTTTGAGAAAAAAAAAAATTTTCTCCAGGTTTTAGATGGGTTTCTTGGAGTGCCACACAGAGAGATGAGATAGATGATGTCAAGTGTTTAATGTCAAAGAAGTTGTTGCAGAAACCACGAGTTGCATTGGATTATTTTATAATCCATTATGTGTTTGAGGCAGAAGAAGTGTCCCTTTTTACTTCAACTGATGATTTTCCTTTTGGAGGTGACGTTGGTTGAGTCACCTCCATATTATTCTCTTCATCAGAGATATCAGAGAACTCACTCATAGACTGCGCCTCTGATGTTTTACTTTTAGAGAAGGCAGCTTTCACACACTGCTTGTTTAGTAAATTCTTACTAGCCTTTTTAGAACTCAGGTTTCTTGTTATTACCCCTGTTTTAGGTAGGGGAACTTTTGTCTTTGTATTCTCTGTTTCTAATGTTTCTTTTGATAGGAGTATTAAACATTTTGAATGGCAAGTAAGAGACTCCTTTGGAGAGACAGAAATATCTGTTTGAACCCTACATGTCTTAGTGGATTTCAACACACTAGCAAATGTCTTCTGCTGCAATGGTGCACTTGGAGTGACCATGCGACGGGCCTCTGGGTATGATACATTTTTTACAGTTTTCTCCCGTTGAATCTCCTTTTCTCTTTGACGTGCAGGGCATTTCCGAAAGTAGGAAAATGGGCATCTTTGCAGTTCACACAGTGTGGAGAATTTTACATTCAGTGCTGTCGTGACCTTCAGTTCCACACTGTGCACATACGCTTTTGCCTCGGCAAAAAGTCTGGGTCCAAATAGCTTGCATTTGAAAAACGCAGCAAATTTGGAATATACGAACGAACTGGGCAGCGTAGGTATCCTGCCGTAATGGAAAATGGCAATGTCGTGTTGTCGAACATAAGAATTAGATGTTTTGTGAATATCAACTTGCCATCTCAACAGATCAAAATGTGTCAAACAAAAGTGACACCTTGGTCCGACAGGCCAATCTGAATGTCTGATTCATCTTCAGAAATTAAATCGAACTCAGATAGCCGTTAGTGTGTGATTAAATTGAAGTAGATTGTGAC